GAGCCAAATATTAAAGTACTAGCTCTCCGACGAGGCCGCGATTGGAGACATACATGCCTACACACATATATATACATGCCAAGCCTATGGGCTGGAAACTAAAAGCTACAAAAAGAAACCCAGAATACTGTGTCCACAATAGCCTCTAAGAGTGTTATAAGCACTATCGATATAAGGCCCCGACTATACCCAAACTGTATAACAAAAGTAACCATTCTATGAAAGCTCTAGGAAGAGGTGGAGCTTACCAACTCACAGCTGAACCCCGAAATCCTAGAGGAGGGGTCGATCAGAGTCCCTACCTTGACTTGCACGCATGAAACAAAAATGTAGTGTCCCTAGGCAACGGGACATCAGTACAAATAAAAATGTACTGGTATGTAAGGCAGACAGTAGAATCATACATAGCTGATGTAAAAAAAAAGTAATAGAGATACCACCTGACACTGAAACTCTGATAGTCTCCATGGCCGACATCCGATTTCATAGTAATCAAATATGCATGGTATGCTCGTGTAATCGTATGTCGTGAATACATATATATTGATGCAAATGCATGACATACCCAACCAAATGCTAGCAATGACAGTCTCTTCCGGTAGCTAACCGGTATCATATTGCCAACCTGTGGCCATCTGTACAATATATATAGTTTTTTGGAAAAATAGGTCTCTTACCTCCGATTATAGCTCGAAGTCCATAAATAATATGCCATGTATGATATGAACTTTGAATGCACATAATAGGCCATAACAAGAACTTAGCCAATCTTGGCTCATAGGTACTCTTATCCTCATAATCTCATAATCACCTTCGTATCGCATACAATTGTCTCGTGGAACCTCATATGTTTTCTTTTCTTTTGAATAAGCTTGAAAACTTAACTCGACTTTTAGAAAGATAACTTAACTCTGAAGATGTTCATAAAAAGCTTAAGATGTTTTACTTAGTCCTTATACCTGATTTCTTGATATTTAGTAAAAGAAAGTATTTCAAAAATCAAGTGTTTTAGTAGTTTAAACATAAAAATTATATTTGAGATTTTTGGAAATCGACGTGTCACTTTAGAGATTTTAAAATACACTTTAACAAAGAAGAAGGACTGATCGCAAATACTAAATGCCTTTATTTTTTTTTTGTCACACAACCCAAAGATGAATAAGAATTAATATATATAGACATATAGTAAAGAAAGCCGACAAAATGACATATATATATATATGTCGAATACCCTATTTAACTGAATGAATGGAATATCAACCTAATAGCATCATGAAAATACTTCAGCTACAATCCCAATGCCTTTCGCAGAAGGTCTTTCTAGCAATAGAATAGTAAAATATCACATCTGACGTCTTAGGAATTTCCAAGAATTCGTGCTAAAAGGAAGGATAGAGCTTAGCCTTAACATACCTTTCCAATGAATGTCTGAATGCCTGTAGTTCCTTCACAAAAGTTGTTCTTTACGTCCTAAGCTTCACAAACACTATATATGCAGCTTATATGTACCTATAAATAGTTCATAGTTGAGTTTAAATCGGCAGATTTGCCATATGACCCTAACTTGACGAAACGTCCGTAGAACTTTGTAAAAACGATCATAAAAGAGTCCCAAGATGATTACCTTGAAAAACCAAATATAAAGCCTAAAGAACCAGCAAGAACAACAAATTCGTATCTTCCAAGAATAGCTCCAAACACAGCTAATAGAAGGGGGAAACAATGGCAAAGCGTAGAGATTGCGTTTCTAGGCACGAGGGCAAATTTTAACGGTAGAAATCGTTAAAAACGCACCTTAATCACTCAAGAACACCATGGAACCTTCTCTTCAGCTTTCTTACTATTTTAGGACGAAAATGAAATGTTTTTAGGTCTGAAAAGTCGAATTTGCCGGCTTATACTACTTGTTTGACCCGACCCGGTTCGCGACCCGGTTTTAGCTTGGACAGTCCACGGTAAAATAGTCATAACCTTTTACTCCAATGTCGGATTGATATGAGGTTTTTTTGGTTGCAAACTAGACTCGTAAACCTTAGATTTGGTAGGTTGTGGATCCCATAACCCTTTATATATTGGGAGAAATAATCTAATATATTTGACCCAAAGTTTAGAAAATTTATTAGAGAAATTTACGATAACTTTTGCCGATCTTTATTTCGCAACTTGCTTGATTCCAAAACTTAACATGTGACCAGTGTGGTATTATAATACCTCATAATACATTATTTTTAGCATATTAGATACTCTTCGTCTTATCCCACATGTGTAAATTAACTTAAACCTTCCGAACGCGCGAGGTGCCACCCGAGCCATTTCTTTAACCACGAACCTTTGTTTAAGGGATTCCTTTGACCTACAGCTTTAGTTTAGTTCCTTGATATTACCATACATTTACATTCTTATTCTCCCAATGTGCTACACCCAATCATATATACCTAATATAACCACGCAACGTTACGTATATTACGTAAGAGAAAAAGGAAAAAAACATAGGGTCTCACAGAGTCTCTGCTGCATGAGGCAACAGACGGGCTACCCAACCCTTGATATCCGCAATAGGCCGAGGCGGACGTCCCAAAGCTGCGAACAGGAAACAAACAAACTTTAAAATAAATACAGACGAAGGAAGAGTAAAACAAGCAGTGACACTTACGAGTCTCATTCGATCGCTCCGGGAACTTGGCGGAATCAGAAACGACATGTTCGATTTTGACAAAGATGTACTTGTGCCAAAACTTGTGGCTTGCCCGGTCATCTGTCCCGACCACCAGCCCTTTCGTGCCACGAATCCTCAAATGCGCCATGGTACCCCTGTGGAAACCGGGCGTGAACAGGTGCAAAAGGTGGTGGACAGAAATGTTACACTCCGCCAACTCCGCATACTTGGTCAGCAGTAGAAGTACCTTGAGCGTATATGGTGAAAGTTGTGCTGGACAAACTTGGTAGAACCTACAGAATTCTTCTGCTAAGGGGAAGAGAGGAAGAGTATAGCCGATCATAAAAGGGTACTCATAGAAAGCGTACCTAGGTCTGTGGGCATCCACGTAATCTCTCCTCGCCGAAACCATTTCTACATGAGCGGCAATGTCATACTTTACACGAAGAGTGTCGATATGAGCTTGCTCCATCTCAGAAAATACGGGGTCCGGAGTAGGAGGGGGATCTTTGAGGAAGTCACTCTAGGATAAGGGATGCCTCGGTAGTAACTCCTCCACCGTCGGAAGGCTGTCACCTTCTTCTACCACCGTATCTTCGCCACCAGAAGGGGGCGTCGTGGACAACGGGGTGGCTTTAGGAACCTCTTCACGAGAATGACGAGACCTCGACATAATATCGTTCAAAGAAATATCAACACAAAAGGAAGAAGGAAGAAGAAGCTTCGAATGAAGAACGTAAGAAGAAAGAAAAGGATATGAGAGTAAATTAGGAAGAGTGAAAGAAGTTATCAAGAGTGAAATGGTTAAAAAATTTCGAAAAAACAAACCATTCACCTATTTATAGGGTTGGGTGGTGCCAGAATCGAGGCGGCAGGTCACAAAGCAGCGCAAGAATCAAAGCATCAAGCCATCAATTCCTGCCTCGAAAACCTGCGTGATGATGACACACGTGAAGCTGACATCATTTTCCGGTAAAGTGTATCACTCGATGTCTTGCTGAACACGCTGACCGTCCCTCGTTGGCCACGTCGTAACATTTTAACGGATCAAATTTCTCCATAAGAACGCATGAAGTCCGCTCATCGAGGACGCTCCAGGTTGCAACCCCGACAAGCAGATGGACTAACTGTAAGGGTCCAAATTTGACCGACCACGACCAACGATGAGTACGACAAACGATAGGGTCTCTTTGAGTCGACGTCCCGAGGGAGGCGACCTTAAGGCAAAGAAGAGACTGTACGACCCTTGTAATAGTGTACGCCCATTAGGGGACATTAGGAATATTCCATCGAATATTCCTTATATTTTGTCTTTTACAATTTAGAAGAGTTTCTCCCTTAGTATAAAAAGGAGACAATAACCTTGTAATATGGAAGAAGGACTCGGGAAAGATTATGATTCTTGAATGAAAAGAAACTTAACGTCCATCTTCTCTTTATCTATTATTCTTTCTAGAGATTATTATATTCAGCTAAGATTTATCCCTTCATCTTTAATTAATTTGTTCAAAAAGGTTTTAATATATTTTGAGTCAAACAAAGAGTACTTTCATTGCTAATTTAGAAAAATTCACATACATTATATGACATTTATATAGTCTACTGGAGATTGAAAAATGAACCAGATGAAGAAATAAAAAAAAAGAAGTCTTATCACCTTCTATGTCGTTCCGAGTTTCTTTTGTCGAATTTAAGTCTTCATATCATTGACTAGAAAATTGTAAATGATAACAATAGTTAAGCAAAAGTTCATCTAATCTATTGTAAAACTTATTGTACTCGACACAAAATTCTGAAAGGAAATTAAAATAGTATAAGCTTTTTAAATTACTCCACAAACATCCGAGCAAAAGAGAAAAGAGAGGGGCAAACCATCCTAATAAAAGTTGAGCAAATTACTACACATTCAAATTGTTAAATAATTTCTATTTTTAAAATAATTATCAATGAGAAATTTCCAGATATGATTACCTTGTAATCTGTAGAATCGACATGAAAATAGAAAAATTGCTTTACATAAAATTGACAAAGTTAAAAAATATTCAATACTAGCAATGTAAGAAGCAACAAATATCAAGAATTGTTATAATTTTAAGCTCTGCATAATAAATCCCATGAAGCAAAATGAGCTTTTCAAAATCAAAAGAACAACTAAAAATGAGATACGAGAAGCATGAACTTTATACTGAAAAATAAATAAATAAAAAGGATGGAACAAATGTTAAAGTTTAAACCATGACCCTATTCTGGAATATTTCATTCTAATACTTGCAAGTTTTAATTATGAGAAATACATTGAGATACAATCTTTTACCATTACAGATATTGAATAATATGATACTCATAGCTCAAAAGGAAGTCCTCCCTTACATTATAAACCAAAAGAGAAACAAAAAAGAAAAGGTTTTTTTTTTTTATACTTAGAAATAAAAAAGAAACAAAAGAATATTGGAATGATCAGCTGATGCGGCGGCACAAGGTAATGCCATCACCAACAGGTAACATACAAATCTCAATCCTAGGATCAACGGCTAGGGCTTTGTTAAGCTCCAATACAAAGTCCCTGTAATACCTTACGTATTTCCTCATTGGTGCATCGGGTGGAGCCACCACAGAACCATTCCATAGGGTGTTGTCGTACCCAATCAAACCACCAACTTTCACCAAATCTATTATCCTTTTGTGATAGTTAATGTAGTTGTCCTTGTCAGCATCCACAAATATGAAATCATATGTGCCATGATTCTTTTTCTGAAACCAAAATTGAAATGAAAATTATTAGTGTTTGTGGGCATTTGGACATAAGAATTGTAAAATTTCGAAAAGATGTGAAAATACTAAAAATGATATTTGAAAGTTAGAGTTGTTTGGACATGAATGTAATTTTGGGTTGTTTTTGAATTTTTGTGAGTGATTTGAAGAGAAAATTTTGAAAAACAACCTTTTGGAGTTTTCAAGTGAAAATCGAAGATTTCATGGCCAAACGTTGATTTCGAAGAAAAAAAAGTGATTTTTTTGTATGGCCAAACAACCCCTAGTGAAGGAATCCCTAAACTAAATAAGACGCTTATAATCGGGATCATGCCATATTAGTTCTTTCAATCACTATTACATATGTCGCACTTACAGTGGCAAAGAGTTTGATAAGACTTTCGGATAAGAAAGATTAATCCCGAATAAGCTTCACCAAATTCTCATTATCTATAGGAAAATATTTTTTTGTCAAGTCAGTCTGGTCGAAAAGAAGCTCTCAAGGAGCTAAGTATAGTTTTTCGAGCTCTTGCTACGATTAAACAAACCTTTCCGGATTATTAATCTAATGCAAAAACAATTATAATGTCCTAAGTTCTTTGTAACGTTGTAAAGTTTGTTTAACTCTTGGTGTGGTTTCAAATTAAAAGTTATATAAAAATTCAAATAGCTGAATTTACACTTGTAACCAAAAAAGAAGATAATAATCTACTAGAAACTATATCAATAATAAAAAAATAGTAGTATTAAAGAGATAATTAAAAGCAAATGATAAGTGGATTTGGGAAGGAGTAAACTCACATCTTCAACCAATTGATCAAGAACAGGCAAAGCAGGGCCTTCTCTAAATTCAATTTTGTGAGCCACACCGGCCTTTTCTATTATGGGCAATCCTATTTCGTAATTTTCCCTGTTAATGTCCATTGCTAATATCTGCATAAAAGAAAGAAGTTATAAAAAATTAGATTTTTGGTCATGCTAATGGGCAAACGGGATATGCAAAAGAAAAAGAAAAGAAATATTTGCCGTATATATCTTATTGTTCTTAATTATATCATTATATATGGCAGGGGCGGATTTACCTTGGGCAAAGTGGTGTCACGTGACACCGCTTCATCGAATTTTTTTACTTATTGCTTATAAATAATTAAAATGCAGAACTAAACAAATGTATAATTTAGTTGAAGTGGCTGGCATTATTTGCTACGTAGCTCATGTGGTGAAATGCTCTAGCTTTTTATCTCGCGTCATGGGTTCGAACATGACAGATTAATTATGAGTTTTTAAGTAATTGTTTGATGCCTTTTATAAAATGAAAGTACATTTAGTATATTTCTAGTGAGGTTATTTTGAATATATTTTAAAAAATAAAAGTTTATCAAGGAGAGTTGTTATATAATTGAGTTGTGTTTTATTAATATGATTCGAGTTATATTTTTTTAATATGATATTTATTTATTGTTTATAGTATAAAATCATAACACCGCTTATGAAAAATTCTGCGTACGCCACTGATATATGGTATTTATGTTTAAAAATACGATTTTCTTTGGAAGAAAAAGAAATAATATGCCAACGAAAAATTTATTTATTTGTTTCTCCTAACTCTCTTGCTTTCTTTCTTTAATTCAAGTCCAATACCCTCTCATAGGAACTTTCTTTTCTCTTTTTATTCCTTTTCTCTTAGCTAGGGACAATTCTGGTGGAGCTACCAAAACAACTAGAGAAAAAACAAATAGTTCTTTCTCGTTAAACAAGAATGAACCTAATATTAGTTGGGGAGTCAAACAATGTCTTGTTTTATTATATTTTTTGCATTTTTTTTTAAATATTTTAAATTGTTAATTATTATAACTTATAATATTTTTTATGTAGTTTTTAAATATGTAAATATATTCCAAGAAATTACAGAATCTATGTCCGAATTTACACAAAAAATTAGTCAATTTACTCCAAAAAGATTCAAACAAATTGAAACCGAGGGAATAATATAATTCGATCGTTATCCCCTATGAAATAATTAATATTATACCTTTCCATCATCGGGGATAGCAAGGGCAGTAGCAAGGAGGGAGTAGCCAGTGTAAACTCCAATCTCCATTGTATTTTTAGCATTAATCAACTTCAACAACATGTTCAAGAACTGTCCTTCATCCGCTGATGTTGTCATTAAATTCCTGTTAATTTCCAACATTTTCATATTTAAATTATTCAGTTAAAAAAATAAAGGAAAAAAAAAACTACTCCCTCCATTCCAATTTATATGGCATGAATAAACAAAATATTCCCTCCATCCCAATTTATATGGCATGAATAAACAAAATATTGAGGAATTGTCCATACGTAAAATCATAATTATTGATACGGGTCTTTTCCACAGGGAATCTTGTGTTCAAATAGAAGCACAAGTGATGTGGATTATTCAAGAATCGAAGTCGATTTGCTTTATAAAAAGAATATCAATGAACTTTTATGAAATGGTTTCGTGGGATTTAGCCAATTGTCTTGATCGTGAAATATCATTGAGAAATAGGAATCCAGGTTATCAAAAAATTTCCTACGATTATTTTTAGTATATGAAATCAGTCAATCATCCACTATTATATGGATTTCGAGAGTTAAACAAGTTATTGTAATTTTTTCATATGCATTTTAAATATTTTGAATTGTTACTTATTACATCTTGTATTATTTTTACATAGTATTAAAAAAATATAAATTTTATTCCAAAAATTTAAAAAATATGTCCAAATTCATGGTCAAAAATTAGAAATTTGATTCTTGATATTCGAATAACGACACATAAATTGAGATAGAGGGAATAGTACATATAATTGTTCTGCAAATGTAATTTACTCACCATGGATGCTTAGCAGTCACCTCCCTGAGCTCTTTCATGGATTCTGGCTCTCTTGGGTATACACTGGTTTCAAGTATGTACTGTCACAAGTAGAAAATTAAATGCCAATATAATCAGGAATATAGAAACATGTTTGTATATGTATGTAATCAATAAAGTTATTAACTCTAAATCTTAATTAAGATACTAGCGATTGCTATCTAAAACACAAAAAGAAAACACAAAATTTCATTTTTAGAGGAAATAATTATACCTGGTAAAGAGCGTCACTTTGCAAAAGACTCTTGTGGCCAACCTCTTGGTGTTTAATTCCATTCTCTGCCATTTCTTTGATGTTTTTTTGCTACTTTTCTCTCCTTTAGGCCAATCTTTTTAGGCTTTTCTTCAGTTTGATTGTTGATTTTCTATGTTTTTCTGAGTTTGGAATCAAGGGAATGGAATGTATATATAGACACCCGCGTAAGATCCTCGAATCAACCACGACTACCATCTGCGGTCCATTTTCGTTCTCTTCCCTGCCCGGGAAGGGGGATCAAAGAAAGGAGTCTGGTTTGGACCTTGTTCATTAATTATCAGCATTATTGTTTTTATTTTATTACTATTATTTTATCTATCAAGTTTATCATTACTTTTATATCTTTTAATTTGGTTATCTTTACTATTTTGCTATCAATATGTTTTTTCCCAATATTTTCATCTTAACTTTTTTACTCATATATTTTTTACGCCTATTTTGAAAATACTTTTCTTGAGTCAAGGTTTTATAAATATTTTTACCTCACACAAGGTAGGAGTATGGTGTACGTACATCCGATCCTCCCCAAAGCCCGCTTGTGAGAATAACGGGTATGTTATTGTTGAACTTACGTGGCTTTCTTGCGCATGGACCGGCCGCCAACCGGGTCCGTGGTTGGTAAGTTTCGTCAACAGTGTGAGGCTATGTGTGGACCCCACCATTGTGGGACCAAACGAAGTAGTTAAGGATGGCTCTCAATCGTTAGATGATATCACCAGAAACCACATTCAACGGCTGGATTTATTTCAAAGACTTAGTAATAGATAATGGAAATATAATACAAGTAGTCTATTTGTTTTCATATGGCCTTGATTAGGAAGAGAGAACTTTTATTAAAGTCATGCAGAAGTTGTTTTACTTTGTGAAATGTTTAAGAAAAATTATTAATTAACATAAAAATTAAACTCTTAAGTTTATAAAGACACCTAATTGAGAAAAGATCAAACAGAGAGTGAAAGAAAATGGTAATCTAATCTCCAATAAAACAAAATTAGACTTAAAAAAGTTCTCGAGAATAATTTTGACAATAGAAACTATAAAAATTAAACTCTTAAGTTAAGATTTTGGTTTAAATATCATCATAGTTTTATTTCTTCTTTTTCATTCATTGGTCCACCCTACCCCAACCAAAAAATATAAATATTAGAAGTATATATATATCCGAAGAAGTTTGGTGGGTGGGTGGGTGAGGAAAGCAATAGGGAACATTGGCAAGTCTTTTAAGTAGGACGTGCACACAAAAAGGAAGTTAATTGAGTAGGGATGGTTCTTCATTTTCAAAGTTGGTGGGAGGTTGGTGCAAAGAATTTGGATCCACATACATTTGTTGATAAGAATAAATACATAAACTAATATAACATAGCATAGATAGTTGGTAAAATGGTGACCCATGGGCCATGACGACCATATGTACTCTTCTACTTTTTTTCCTCTTTCTTTCGTTCCTTTGTTGTCCATTTTGATATTCTATGATTCACCCGAATAATGAATAGGTAGTTCGATCCTTTTTATTTTAAACTTTTTAGTAGATGGATAAGGAATGCGGAGTAATATGTCTAATTATTATATAAAGAAGAGTTGTAAATTATAGAACTTCTTGTTCGAATAGGAATATTTCGATTTTTCTCGCTCGTTCGAGTAGGAATATTAAGGCTTTTTGGCATATTGGTTTAGCTGTATATTATATTATCTTAGAGTAGGTCAGAGGTTTGACTATGTACAACCTCCATTTTTTTAACAAAGAGGCTCAAAATTAACCTAGCTTTAACAATATATATGTAACTATTTACAATAAGTCTTATTTGATGTAAAAATAAAATAAACGGTAATAAGGAATTGATAAAAAAGCAGTAATAGCGTAACGATAATTTACAGCCTAAGAGCTAAATTCGTTTATTTATGAAAGTCACTCAATATCTTGGTAGTTCTAATTTTGTTGCTGCTCATGATCAATGGAAATTTATGAGTAAAGTTTGGCTTCTTGTCTTATCAAATGTATCCAAATATACGAAGTCTACACAGTTAAATATCAGGTTTACAGATTAGTTTTAGAACTGTTTGTCTTTTTTGATTGTATTCGTGTTCTTTATTTCTCAACGGAAGTGCCAATATATATACTTATCTAAGAGATACTTGAGCAAAATTATGGGTGCGTTTGGTATGGAGGAAAAAATTTCTGAAAAATATTTTTCAATTGTTGTTTTGTTTGGCTGGTTAATTAAGATGTTTGAGGAAAATATTTTTTTAAGAAAATAAATTTCGAAAAAATCAGAAAATGACTTCCCTAGTGGAAATAACAATAACAATAACAACAACAACAACAATCCAGTGAAATAGCTCACAAGTGGGATTCGGGGAGGGTAGTGACTACGCAGACCTTACCCCTACCGCGAGGGAGTAGAGAGACTATTTTCGAAAGACCTTCGGCTCAAGAACCCTAGTGGAAATAAGAAAAATAAATTTAATAATGTTGATTATCCCCATGCACCCCAACCCCCTTCACCCAGCCCTACCCCAGAGGCGTCTCAATGGTGTTAGAGGCCTAAAGACAAGCCATGATAAGATGCCTTAAACTTGTTTAATAATTTTAGATATTTTTCTTTATTTTTTTTTTAACTTTTTGATATGCAATTTAACCAATTCATTTAATCTTTATTGAAATATTACTAACTTTTGAAAAGATTTTCTTAAGTTTAATTTTGATTTTTTCCACACGATCGTCAACATAAGGGAATTTGTATTTACAAAGATGATAAACAAATCAACTATAGTTTTTCACAATCTAATTAGCTTGAATCTTACCTACAAAAACCTTGAAAGAAAATATCTTACAAAATTAAAGTTGTAAATAAAATTTGTTCAAGTTAGAGTGAGAACAACTAGAAAGTAAATACAGATTTAATTGCCTTTTACTTTCATTAGAATTTCTCAACCAACTACAAAGAAAAATCACATAACAAGTATAATAAATATTTAAATTACATATAAAAAGAGTAGCTTTTGGGGCCTTGTTTACCCTTAAAATTGGATAACAATTAAACTTATAATGTGATTTTAAGGACACGTGATTTCACCTAATACCAATTGATAAATGTAAAGATTAGTAATAGAAATTGACAATAAGATAAATCAAACCAATGTGATGAACAAGTGTGACCTTCAAGCTAAATCACCTTTGAATCAACTGAATATGCTATTGAAAACGTATGAACTCTAATAGTAAAGCCTAAGAGAATATAAGAGAGATAGATGTAACATATTGCTTGATTATCAGTCAATGTGTACGTCCCCTTACAAGATAATTGAGGGCCTTTTTATATAGTAGAAGAATTCTATTTATGGTATAATTCTAATTACGGAAGTAAATCTCATGATTGGCTAAATTACCGGTCCTAACTTGATATGTGCCGAGATCTCCGCTACGATTCTTGCCCGATTACGGATATCTCGGCTTTCTATTATTCGACCTCGCAGACTTCTTTCGATCTCTCTCGATTTCTTTCTTACTTCGGTCTCGACCACGGTTGGTCTCGATCTTGATCGGCCATTGATCCACGAGCTTACCAACCCATATCCGTACCATGACCTGATATAACCGAGGCCGAGCCTAGATATTCCACCTCGATTTCGGTCAGTCATACAAAAGTAGGCAAACCCGATTTTGACCATATACAGATAGTCCCCTTATTCTTTGGAGTGTAATGACAAGAAGCGAATTGAGTCCGAGTTCTTTTGCCTCTTCTTCTCAAAGCACCAAATATTCCAATCTCTATTCTTCCTTGCTCCCAAAAACAATATGGCCAAAATATCTAAAACCGTTCCGCAAAAGGAAACTGCTCAGGTTCGGGCAAAAGAGGTTGCCGAGCGCGCCAAGTGTCAGTCTCGGAGGGAGACCCTTGAAAAAACCCATGCTCGGGGCTTTGATATTTCGACTAAGATTGATGGACCCCGAATGACCATTTGTAATAGAGTTTGAGTAGCTCTTAGGCTTAACAGTCGAGTGAGGATTTTCTCGAACTCGAAGTAAAGTTAACCCTTAGGCTTTATAGATAGTCCCCGAGTGAGAGTTTGCTCGAACTCGGGTTAAGATAGCCCTTGGGCTTTTATGATCGAGTGAGGACTTTCTCGAACTCGAAGTGAAGTTAGCCCTTAGGCTTTATAGTAGAGTGAGGATTTTCTCAAACCCAAAATAAAGTTAGCTCTTAGGCTTTATAGATAGTCCCCGAGTGAGAGTTTGCTCGAACTCTGATTACACTACCAGAAAATTGGCCTATTGGAACGAATATTTTTGTGACGGTTCAACAACCGTTCCTATAGATAAGTTATTGGAATGGTTCCAACCGTTGTAATATTACATGGGTGATATTAGCACACTTTGGCTATAAAACCGTTCCCATTAATTAGCAACCGTTCCCATAGGGGTTTATTTTTTGCAATGCTTATGCTAACCGTGTCAATAAATAAATATATTGCCACGAATCTTGAAATTAATACAATGGGAACGTTTGTTATTTCCCTCCTAAAATTTTGGCCCCCTTGAAGTTTCGTAAAATTCGTGCTAGAACCCCTATTTTTACATAAATTTCTTTTTGTCTTAATTAATTTCTATACCTAATAAAATTAAAAATAATTAATGGCTATCGAAAGGCCATCCCTCTCAAAAGGGACTTCACCGAGAACGACGACTCTGTAACAACCATCGAAAGGCAGCCATCAACCGCCGACTCTGCCACCATCCCGCCGTCAACGTCCACAGTAGAACCTCCGACTATGTAACAGCTATGGCCGTCAACAACCACCTCCTTCTACGGCCGTCAACAACAACCACCATCCCGTTGTCAACAAAATTGTTCCAGCTCTTTGAGTAGTTCCAAGATTTGATTTTCTTTTTTCTTCACCCATAAACTTTATCTCCTCCACCTGAAATAACCACCTTCTTCTATTAATCCAAGCTCCACATTTTCAAATAGCCCTAAAATTGTAGGGTTTTTTCTCCACTAAGCTCGACCACCTCCTTTTGCAATTTCTTAATAGTTGAGCCATAATTTGCAGATTCCATTAGTGAGGAAGAAATTGCAACTGATAGCTGTGGGATAAATCACGGTAAGTGTTTTTTAATCTCTTTTGTATTTAATCACGGTAAGTTTAGATAATTGCATTCGATAGTTGTGTTTTTGAACCATAAGCAAGAAACTCCAGTTTATGTGTTTGTCGTTGTAACTTACCTTCAATTGATATGTTACAATGTTGTCAGAATATGTCGTGTTAACTGGAAAATGGTAAGGGCTTTCAATCGCAAAATCGTTTTTTCATATAATGTTGACTTGGAATTTGCTAAGGAGCAAATATATGCTGTTGCAACTTTCTTTTCTTTCAGAACACTCTGAATTCATAGCTGATATGATTTCTTATTATCGAAGTTACCATTAAAATTGTATACACAAAGTGATACATATCTCTACGTAGGTTAAACTGATCATATGTTTTCTTCTCAATGTGGAAAGTACTAACACTATTTGGAAATCATGAGCTTCTTGATTAGTTTTAGATTCCATCCGGAGCTATTTTTGGGCTAAATTTTGTAGCCGAATTGTGGTTATTTATATTACAAGAACTCACTTATAGGTGAGTATCTGATATAAGCACATCTAATTGATATCTAGTACATCAAAGTAAATAAAGAGTCCATGTAATCAGGTGGCTATTTAGGTTTTCACATTATACTTAATTTGAGCCTAATATGGATAAGAGTTAACTTTGCTTACCTTGAATATTAATTTTGGTGATTTGAATATGTTATATAGGATAATTATGGATACGGTGACAAAAGTTGGATGAATCTCCTAAGATGGACAGATGAGTATATCTGTGGAGTGAATAAAATTAATTAACAATAGTAATTGATGATTATCTTTGCTTTGTACTATTGTGGAGTGAAAGAGCGTAAGCAAATTGTGCTAAATCAGAACAATCAACTCATAGGTCCTACTGATGAAGAGGTAAATGAGTTGGGTAGCTTCATCGGTACATTGGCAATGAATGCAACCTTTTGTTCTCTTAATGTGTTTAATTGAAGGAAACTTGAGACAAAAGAAGATATGTGAAAATATATCAAGGTTTGAAGTCACAATATTTAATAGGTGTGTGTGGATATTTCATATTGTTATACTAACCTAAATGCATTAAATTTGTAGCGAAAATATGACATTCATGAAGATGCAAAAAAGTGAGTTTTTCAATCAATTCAAAATACTTGGAGAAAGTATAAAAATCAGTTAAAGAAAGACCATTTTGAACCCTATGAGAATGACGAGCTTCGAATGGAGAATGAATCCAGGATTACGAGTTGATCCTAACATGCTAGCTTTCAATGCTCGTTCACCTGGAGAAGCTTCCTTTGCACAACAAGCTGTTATGCAACTAATCAATCGTCTATATCTACTGGGACTAACAATCAATGTCAGTACATACTCCAAACGTTACACCCCTTCTGTTGCTTTTCTACCACTGCTCTCTCTCTCTGTTCTATTTTTTTTTAGAGGGAAGTTAGTAAGATGGCTTAGTCTAGTTAGTTTAGTCATTTTTTAACTTCGCCTCCGGCCCTTTATCATCGCGTAGTTCTGTGGTTGCCTTGACGACTCTTTGTTGTTGTATACTTGCAAAGAAAGATGCCACTTTTCTCATTCCATTTTAGCTCCCAATCCCTACTTAGCCATAAGAAACAGAGGATGTTAGCTTGAAGAAGTATCACAATGATCAGTCCTAGTGTTTTGAAAGTTTTTAAGGAATATGATCTTTCAAAGTAAAACAAAATCCAATGCAAATGTCATTATGCCTTTACTCTTGTTTCCTTCAAATTGTAGAACGTGCGGGTTCATAATGCAGTTTTTTCCCAATCTATTAGGGAGAATTCTACTTCTAGAACTAAAGAATTGAAATATGAAATTAATATTATGAACTCAAAAGTAAATGTCTATGAGAACAATTTTTTTCTCCATAAAGTTATCAGATTAGAATACTGGAAAATACATTTTATATTTATCAAAATTTCTCCTCCCGTATATTTGAATTTTGGTAGTTTTCCATGAAAACTGAAGTGTTTTACATTAAATAAGTATTTACAATTCCAATCTACTAAAATTCTCTAAAAGACTAGTTGTATCTGGTAGTAAGTATAATGTATCAAGATTTAGGCTTCAACCACTCTCCTTCGAGGAGATTTTACTCTGTATACATGTTCTTCTCATATGCATTTATCTACCTTAACAATCCAATGTCCTATATTTTCCATTCCTTGAGCCGTAACCTTTTTTGACTTTGCACCAATTCTGGTCAGCAACAGCCCTTCTCCTACGACGCGTCCTCCTGTTTGTTGACCTGCTGCCACCAGTGCAAGGGTGGTGAAGTCTGCAACATTTGCACAAGCAACTACCATAAGTTGTACATTATTTCCTGTTGCGAGCGCGGAGATGAACTCTGCTCTGTTTGGTTCTGTAGCTCTCTTTCCCTGAATCAGATCAACATAACATTCAACTTGAGGAGAAAAAATCATTTGAATTGTATATCAGATTGCACATATGATAAGTTCATAATTATACTTACCATGTTCATGGTTTAGAGAAAAGATTTAGTGGCATTTTCAGCAGACCAACAACCCATTTTCTGTTTCTTTGTAATTTTCTCTTGATATTTTTTCCAATTTTTTAAAGAAGTAGAGAGCTAGAGATGTATTTAAGCCTGCTTGGGTTAGTTTGGTAAAACATCTACATTTATATACAGGGCAGGTAGAACCTATGTCCATGTGGAATTTAATTAGTAAAAATTCTCAAGTTGGTGTTACAAAATAAAATATACTAGATATTAATAAGAAAGGACGACTTTTTCTTTAATATTCATGGAATTAAGATTGCCATAGGAGAATTGCATAATGTCAAAATGTCTTGTTTCTTGTTGATACTGTCTTGTTTCTTCCTGTTTAAAAACCTAATACTGCCTTGTTTCTTACTGAGCTACAACTTAACAACGAATTGCAGCAATTAAAAAGTTGAAATCTAGGTTGTTTCTGATCGGTTTTCTGCAGTAATTTTGGCAGCAAATCTGCACGGGTGAGCTCTCAAGTTAGTTGTTTTTTTGGTTTAAGTCAAATCTGCACGGGTGGATATGGTAATATCCTTTTTTCTTCCTATTGATGTGCCTATTTCAGTATTATTGGTATCCAACTTCTTTGTGACCGACTGAGAGTCAATGGTTGAGGTTGTAGTTGTGGTTGGGACTTGGTACTTATGTGTTAAACTTGATTGTCTTGTTTGGGGTTCCTGCGTTTTCGGGCATTACATTGCTAAGAAATAGCTCTAAGGTTCATTCTTGTAGCAATTTTGGATTAATGTTGCATTATATGTTTAGAATTGGACAGTGATATAGATATGTATCTAAGTTTACTGAGGACTTCACTGACTTGGTTAGAATGCGTATAAAAATCACACCTTCTAATTGGTCTGTATCTTAATAACTCTATCCAATATTCTTATCTCCACCACATATATCTGAATAACAAAACGTTTGAACATTTAATTTAATATTAATTGACTGAAACACTAAGTTCTTAACAAATTAAAAACTACAGCATGTAGCAGACTTTCTATATAAAATTAAAAGTCAGAGTATAAATGTGTTTTTGTACTTAAATAGTCTCCAGCAAATAGGAATTACTTCACTTGGAGAAAAAATATACCTCTGACCTTTCCCAAACTCTTTTTCTTAACCCTTTTGTGAGGTTGGTCACCACAACATATCCCACAACCGAGGCTTGACCACCAGAGTAGCCTGCAATTCATAACAACAAGAATGGTAATAATGATAGGATAGATAAAGAACAACCTCCAAAGAAGGCCATTACCCAAAATTTAAAGCTTACTCTTAACATTGTCTCAGCCTCAGCTTTTAATAAGTACTACTATAAAGTTGCTAGTTGCTGCTTCATTTTTCAAAATATTTTAAGTCCAAAAGTTGTTGCCTTTACATATTTAAGTGGGTAAGTGTAATAATCTTGATTTCTTGCTTCATGTTTTAACTTGTTTTAGAGGTTTCTGACTTTGTCAAATGTAATCTTGGAATAATATTGGAAGAAATTGAATTTGTAAGTTGCCTCTTCTATTGTCTAATATATATAGTCCAATGACTTGATGTCTTTACATATTTACCTGAGTAAGTTCAAAGATTTTGATTTCTTGCTTCATATGTGCACTTTCTAGATGTTTATTACTTAGTCAATATACTCTGTATCAGATTGGAAGACTTGATTTCTGAAGCTGTCTTTTTTTAATATATAGTTCATAATTGTTAGCTGCTTTTACAACTTAGTTGGGTGTAAGTGTAGTGATCTTGATTTCTTACTTCAAATGGAAGAAATGTACAATCAGATCATGTTATTTTATTCATAAAAGTTAGCTGAAGCTGTTCCATTACTTTTATTCCTTTGAAAAAGTAATGGAAGTACAATCAGATCATGTTGTTTCATTCAGAAGTTTAAAACTGTTAATAACTTTATTTATCCTCTTTTGTAGGTGGAGTAGATCAAGAAATGGATGATGAAGAAGAACTAGACCTTACTTGAGATAGAAGTTTGAATTGTTATAGATGAATGTTCTAGGAATCTTTTGTTATCAACATTTTTGAAACTTACTTACTCTCTTGAAATGTACTAAACTTATGCACTTGGGGTACAACATTTGCTTTATGGATATTATTTGCTTGAATGATAATTTTACATTATTAATAGTTTCATTTTATGATGTATTTAAAAACTAGTGTTATTATTATTTTGTTATATATATAAATATTTATTTATAACAAGTGCTATATTTTGGTTTTAATTGAACTGATACAATAGCCTACTAGAACCGTTGCAATAGAACACAAATGACGTTCTAGTAGACAATGTAAACCGTTGCAATAGATCCTATAAAATATTCCAAATTGATCTATAAACCGTTCCAAATACAAATATAACCTTTGCAGTAGATCCGATAAAATATTCCAAATTGATCTATAAACCGTTCCAAATACAAATATAACCGTTGCGATAGCTTACAAAAATCGTTGCTATATCCATACATAACCGTAACAATAGCTTACATAAGTGTTGCTTTAAATAATATGGTAACCGTTAAGAACCGTTTTGTAAACAATATATTAACGGTTTTGAACCGTTCCAATTGAAAAAAATAAACGTTCCAACAAAGAAGGTGAAAATCGTTGCGATAGACGTATCTATAGTCACGGTGATGCAAAACATTACACGAACCATTCCAATAGGCCTATTGGCACGCGGGCAGATGTAACCGGTTATGAACCGTTCCAGTATACCTATGGCAACGGTTACATAGTCTATGGAAATGGTTGTCCAACCGTTACCGTAGACCAATTTTTCAGTAGTGTTAAGATAGCTCTTGGGATTTTATGATTGAGTGAGGACTTGCTCGAACTCGAAGTGAAGTTAGCCCTTAGGCTTTACAATCGAATGATGATTTGCTCGAACTCGAAGTAATGTTAACCCTTAGGCTTTATAGATAGTCCTCGAGTGAGAGTTTGCTCGAACTCATGTTAAGATAACCCTTGGGCTTTTATAATCGAGTGAGGACTTGCTCAAAATCGAAGTGAAGTTAGCCCTTAGGCTTTATAGCCGAGTGAGGATTTGCTTGAAGTCGAAGTAAAGTTAGCCCTTTGGCTTTATAGATAGTCCCCGAGTGAGAGTTTGCTCGAACTCGGGTTAAGATAGCCCTTGGGCTTTTATGATCGAGTGAGGACTTGCTCGAACTTGAAGTGAAGTTAGCCCTTAGGCTTTATAATCGAGTGAGAATTTGCTTGAACTCGAAGTAAAGTTAGCCCTTAGGATTTATAGATAGTCCCCGAGTAAGAGTTTTCTCGAACTCGGGTTAAGATAGCCCTTGGGCTTTTATGATCGAATGAGGAATTGCTCAAACTCGAAGTGAAGTTAGCCCTTAGGCTTTATAGTCGAGTGAGGATTTGCTCGAACTAGAAGCAAAGTTAGCCCTTAGGCTTTATAGTCGAGTGAGGATTTGCTCGAACTAGAAGCAAAGTTAGCCCTTAGGCTTTATAGTCGAGTGAGGATTTGTTCGAACTCGAAGCAAAGTTAGCCCTTAGGCTTTATAGATAGTCCCCGAGTGAGAGTTTGCTCGAACTCGGGGTTAAGATAGCCCTTGGGCTTTTATGATCGTGAGAGGACTTGCTTGAACTCGAAGTGAGGTTAGCCCTTAGGCTTTATAGATAGTCCCGAGTGAGAGTTTGCTCGAACTCGGGTTAAGATAGCCCTTGGGCTTTTATGATCGAGTGAGGACTTACTCGAACTCGAAGTAGAAGTAGCCCTTAGGCCTTTGTATTTGTTAGGGATTTCGGACGTCTCCGATCCGCGTTAATTTGGTTGTAGCCTCTTTAGTTCGGAACTTACCCTATGGGCGTATTTTCTGTTTCACCTCGAGCTTACCCGAAGTGTTAGTCCCCGAGTGGGGTGGCCGTGGCCTGTAAAATCGAAGGTCGGCTTTAAGGTCTTATGGTCTCAAAATTTTAGTAGCTCGATTTTGTTTGTTTTTCGGATGGCAGTCCTCAAGCGTGGGGTTAATTGTTCGAACTTCCGTCATGATCGGCCCTTAAGCCTGTTTACACAATAGATCAAGAGTATGAAGTAGGAAATTTTCCTAAAGGCATGAGATATCGGCAAGGAAAAATACTCCTCTCAATAGATGATTATACATGCGGGCATGTTTGATGTTAGGGCTTGAGTAACCTATATGGGCACAGTTCATTTGACCGTTTTACCCTTACAACATTTTCCTATCGAGACCTCGCTGTCACGAAGTAATTTCTTTGCAATAAAGTAGACATTCGAGGATAATTCCCCCCAGTACTCTAGGCTTATTGTAGGGAACCTCCTGTTGAATTGCTCTAAGTTAGCACGAACAATGGTTGCCTCATTAAAAATCTCGCCAGAAAAACCATTTAGGACAAAAATCGGTCTAAGAGAAAAAGAGTGCAACACATGCTTTAAGATCCAAAGCTTCGTGCCGATCCTTGTCGATATCATACAAGTGTTAGTCAAAAAAATAGAAAGAATTAGAATGGGGTCGCACCTTCATTCGGATTTTGGATATTTAATGTGATCTTCCTCAGTATCAAGCCCCCGTGAATTTTGACCTCGATCATTTCTCCTCTCATTTTATGTGAAGCTTCGCCCAGACCCGCTGCCTCTAGGTCTCCGTTGTACGGTTGATATCGATCTCTATTCGACCTCGGCTCTCGATCGATGTCCCTTTTGATCCTATCCATGGGTATGCTAGGATAAACAGACCCTGAAGGAATCCCCAATTGATCATCATCGACCCTAATCTTTGACTAATATCAATTATGTATGTCGGCCCAAGTGACAGCCAGGTACTCGATTAAACTTTGCTTCAACTGCTCTGAAGCTATGGAACTCCAAGTGTTGTGACCTTGATTGAAAGCTTGAACAACCCAGTCATCAGTGACCGGAGGCAAATCCATTCTCTCCGCTTGGAACCGAGATATGAATTCCCTAAGCATCTCGTTATCTTTCTGCCTTACCTTGAAAATGTCCGACTTCCTTGTTGCAACTTTAATGGCTCCAGCGTGTGCCTTTACAAAAGAATCTGCAAGTATAGCAACGAATCAATAAAATTAGGGGGTAAGTTATAATACCATATTAAGGCACCTTTCGATAGAGTCTCCCCGAACTTCTTCACCAGTACGAATTTAATTTCGTCATCTTCCAAGTCATTTCCTTTGATGGTGCACGTATATAAGGTGACGTGTTTATTCGGATCGGTCGTCCCCTTGTACTCTGGAATCTTGGGCATACAAAACTTCTTGGGGATTGGCTTCGGAGCTGCACTAGGGGGAAGGGTCTTTGCACGAACTTTTTACAATCTAGTCCTTCCAATATCGGTGGTGCTCCCGAAATTTGATCAACTTGGGAGTTGTACGCTTCTACCCTTTTGTCGTTTTTCTCAATCTTGTTCTCCCCCGATTCGATCCGTTTTGTGAGTTCTTCGAGCATATTTGTAATGGCGGGGTCAGTCCCTGATTCGTTCTTATTTGGCCTCTCCGGAACTGGTTCGACTCTGTGAACAACTTCTAGTGAGGGTTCGAGCTGGATTCTAATTTTGGAGTTGTGCTATTGTAGCTTGTTGAGTCTAAAACATTTCAAATATCATTCGAAGACTAATTCCGCCCTCTTCACCGCTCTGTGCATTCTGATCGGCCGCTCAAGCATCTCTGCGGACGCTATTTTCAGGATCGATGCCCAAATTTCCATTAATGCCAATATGGGAGCTGACGCCAATTAGGTTCTTGGCCGGAGACCTATTGGGGTTGACTGGAGGCACTCTATTTCCCGGGGCGGCTATGTTGTTATTTTCACCGTAGCAGCCGAGGCCATTGTCTGTATGTGTAGGTGCTACTCGAGAGTTTGACATGTTTATTCTGAAATGAAAAACACTTACAAGTACAAGCGTAAAGCAGTGTGTGTTATGAGAATTAATACCAAGCAATCACTATTATCCTTAGCCCCACGATGGGTGCCAAACTATTTATCCTTAAAATTGGATAACAATTAAACCTATAATGTGGTTTTAAGGACATGTGATTTCACCTAATACCAATTGATAAGTATAAAGATTAGTAATAGAAATTGACAATAAGATAAAGCAAACCAATGTGATGAACAATTGTGGCCTTCAAGCTAAATCACCTTCGAATCAATTGAATATGCTGTTGAAAAAGTATGAACTAGAATTGTAAAACTTAAGAGAATATAAGAGAGGAAGATGTAATATATTGCTTGATTATCAGTCAATGTATCCGTCCCCTTACAAGGTGATTGGGGGCCTTTTTGTATAGTAGATGAATCCTATTTATGGTATAATTCTAGTTACGGAAGTAAATCCCATGTTGGACTAAATAACCGATCCTGACTTGATATGTGCTGAGATCTCTGCTACGATTCTTGCCCGATCACGGAATCTCGGCTTTCTGTTATTCGACCTGGCAGGCTTCCTTCGATCTCGTTCGATTTATTTCTTACTTAGGTCTCGACTACGGCTGGTCTCGATCTTAATCGGCCATTGATCCACGAGCTTACCAACCTATATCTGTACCATGACCCGATATAATTGAGGCTGAGCCTAGATATTCCACCCCGATTTCGGTCAGTTATACAAAAATAGGCAAACTCGATTTTGACCGTATACAAGCCTTTAATTTTGTGAGGTGACTGCTTTAGCAGCGTGGAGGTTAACCACCTATGCCCTACCCTTGAACCCCCCCCCTCCCCAAATCATCCTACTTCTCGCCTCTCACTCCTCGCTCCTCAACCCTATATCCTCCCACCCTCACTCCCGACCCTCCATCCACTCCTTTAATGTTCTCTATATATATATATGCTCCAGAAATAGTATTTTTTTCCCATAGTTATCAATAAACATCAAAAAAACATGCCAGAAAATCACTTAATTTATATATATGAAAACACCTTCCTTCGTACCAAATACACCTTATTTTGAATTTATATACTCCACTTATTATCACATGAAGATATTTCGATTAGCGAAGTATCATTTTCTGTAGCCCGCAAATGTAAGCATATGAATGTGAAATATAAGACGAGAATCCTTATTTTAAGAATTGGGATCTTGCATTCCTAGAAAGAGTTTTTTTTTTTTTTTGACAAACAAAGATAAATAT